TTTGCATGATTCCATTTATATAAAGTTAAAAAATGGGCAAAACGACTCTATGTGTTAGAGGTGAGAATAGTGTTCCCCCAGAAAGATAATGACTGGAAGTAGATTTAAGGGGGGCTTGGAGAAGCTGCTGCATTTAGTTTCTTCATCTGGGTTTTAGCTCTACAGGTTTGTGAAATTCACTGAATTGCACACTTTTCTCTATATTTGTTATACTTCAAAAAGAATTTTTCAGAAGTCCATGTCAGAACACTTTTATTGCCTTCCTTTCCTAAAGAGACATTCTAGAAATGGTATCTGTTATGGCTTGGTGTATATCTGGGATAACTACAATATCTGGTCAACATTTTGGTCCAAGGCTGTGAGACCTTGACTGAACAAGTCACTTATCCTCTCTGAACATGGTTTGCAAAGAGCTGGGTGGACACATGCCCTTCCAGCCTCAAAGTGTGATGGAGAATGTTGGGTAACATCAGGTACAGTTGAATACTGTTGTACACAAGATTAAGTACTAAAGTCAGGGAGTAATGTAAAGATCAACTATAAACAAACTACCCTTGACAATTCTGTAGATAACCCCTAAATCACTGGGATACCCTTGGAAGCTCAAAAGCCAGGCACTAGGAGTGTACTTCTTTTGTTTCTCTTTAGATTTCTGCCTTTAGTCTTCCTTTCTGTGGGGCAGCCTAGGACAAAACGGGCTTGAATGGCAGTGCGGGGGGGAGAAAGGATTTCTCACTCTCCTAATCTCTTTTATGTTGAGGGCACCTAATTGAATGTCCCTATTACATATACCTTTACAGTAATTCCAATGTATGTGAAAGCACTGAAAATTATAACAATATTAAGGAAATGTAGTGATGATTCATCTTTGGAACAGGAGCTTTCCTCGGATTATTTTGGGTCTAGAAAGCCTTTATGGATAATGCCAAGGTTAAACAAAGTGACTGATTAAAGTCAATTAACCAAAACAGGGGGGCTGCTTGATGCTTAATGACATGTTGGGATAATAAATAGAGAAAGAGGCTAAAGTTAACATTAGATATTACCATAAATAGCAATTTTGCAATTATGTAGTACTTCATAGTTTACAAAATCTAAGTCATTTCTTAAAAATTAATCTTACTTTATTTTATTTTATTATTATATTTATTTGAGAGAGAGAGAGAATGAGAGATAGAAAGCACGAGAGGGAAGAGGGTCAGACGGAGAAGCAGACTCCCTGCCGAGCAGGAAGCCCTATGTGGGACTCGATCCCGGGACTCCAGGATCATGACCTGAGCCGAAGGCAGTCGCTTAACCAACTGAGCCACCCAGGCGCCCCAAATTAATCTTACTTTAAAGATGAGGCTTAACTACTCAAGGTCATCTGACTAGCTTAACAGGAGAACTGAGATTTATAATCAGATCTTCTAAGTTCAAAACCAAAATACTTCCCAGGAGACCAAGAGATCTCCCCCTACCCCCGTTTATGAGTGGTGATGGTGCAAAGAGGTAGGTTTGAGGATTTGTGATCTGGCTCTCCTGGACTTATGCTCTGTCTTCAGCCACGTGCATGATCCATATGACCTTGACCATCTTCTCTAGGCGAGATTCCCAAGATTAACCAAGACAAGGTGGGAAGCACAGACTTACCTGGGTGGCTATGATTCTCACCTAGGTAGAGACCTACTGCACAGGATGAGGTCAAAAGTTGTCCTTGTGTGACCCAGGATGTGTGGGGTTTAGGGTTACCCAGCTGGGTGATACAGCTGGTTTCTGATGCTCCAGGATGGGGCCAGGTTATCTTTTTAATACATATATACCTGCATCATGCTTATGTATGCATTCCATATCTGCTTATTAACCATTTGAAAAGATAAACTTTGCCCAGTAAAGACATATATTATGAAATAATTGTGATATCATAATTCACCCTCATGGGAGTTGGAATTCACAGTGCATAGGACAATCTTTGTGCCTTAAAACTTTGCAGAGGTGTGTAACCCTTTAATGGGACTGAAGGCTCCCAGACAGGGCTCCTCTACTGACTAGGGGGACCCAGATGTGGCCTTGTGAAGTGGCTTAGGGAGGAGAGTAGTAGTGGGCTCGGTGGAGAATCTTCTCCAACTCCTCACATTTAGGAGAGATATTGCTATGTCCAGATATGATTCCATTTCAGTTATAATTTGTCATTCCAGTGTTTCCTTTGGGACTCAGGTAGCAGCAGGAGGCCCCCTGGTGGCCTGAAATCATTCATGGGTTTGCTTATCAAACATTTTGAAGGGCAGGTGTGGCTGGAGAAGTATGAAGGTAATAAACACTCACCTACACCTGTTGCTTACAGTTGAGGCAGGGCAGAGTAGGATGACGTATTTGGGGAGAGTTGAGAACTAAAATATTTTCTTTTAAGAGAATAAAATAAATGGACTGTGATTCTAGATAAACCACTCGCTTTCTGATTTTTCATTCTTTAGTTTATTTAGCAAACATTTATTGAGTACCTACTCTGTGCAAGATATTGTATTTGGCATCACATGAGAGTTAAAAAAAAGACATCATCCCTTTTAAGGAGCTTTGGAAGAGGATAAAACATTTATGCCACCAACATGGTAGAAAATGAAAGATGCCATCAGAGAATAAATAAGTAAAGACTTTCAAAGGAGTAATTACTTTGAGATAAAAGGGAAGGCTTTTTAGGAAGGGGTTGCATTTAGGCTGGGGCTCTAATGAGAAGCAGGATTTGGAGACGTTGAGACGGAGAGGAACGGGATGGCATTATGGAGGAGGGAAAACAGAAGTTGAACACACATGGAAGCAGGAAACCACAGTCTGATTCAGAATGGTGAATAGTCTGATCTGGCTAACTCATGAGTTTTTGGGCTGGAGTGAAGTGAAAGCTGGATACATCTGTTTGGATCGGATAGTGGAGAACCTTGAACACTTGCCTGAGAAATTTCTTCATCAGCAATGGGGAGCCTTTGAATATTCTGAGCCGAAAAGAGGCGTGTCAAAGCACAGACTCCCTCCCATTGAAACCGACCTGATACTACATACTTGCATTTGGCCCGAGGAGTGTGGATGTGCATGCATTTAAGGTAATTGTGGTATACTCTACTATAATGAACAACTCCAGTCTTGCACCATCTGACCTTCAAAGCCAGGAGAAACGAGGCCATCAAGGCTTCTCCCCTTAACAAAACTACAGGCTACAGTCAGTGCCACAGGGCTCCTGCCATATTTAATTAAATTCCTTGAGAGAATGCCTCTCTTGAAAGTGCTACGTGAGGTTTGTTTTGTTTTGCTTTGCATTTCCAAGGTTTAAGAAAGGCTTCATGCCTGACTATCTTCCCATACTAGTTTCATGTGGTTTAAACGACATGAACTAGGGATATTCCTGACAAGCGTTCTGGAGTAGAGTCCTAGCTGGGTGTAGAGTAGCTCAATATCCACAGAAATCAAGCAGTGATCTTATTTGCATTGTATTAGAACTAACTCAGTTAAGCAGCCTAAGAATCTACACAATGCCTGACATATAGTTGATGCTCAAAAATAGGTGAAGCAAATATTTAACAACTGATTGAATAGTTAATGCACATTTAATAACACATTATAAAATGCCTGACTCCAGGCACTGTTTTCCCAATTGTTAATGGCATAGAAGTTGTTTAGAATGTAGTCAACATAATATTATTCTTCACAAGTCATGAAAGAATGATATAATAAGGGGCGCCTGGGTGGCTCAGTCATTAAGCGTCTGCCTTCGGCTAAAGTCATGATCCCAGAGTCCTGGGATCGAGCCCCGCATCGGGCTCCCTGCTCCACAGGAAGCCTGCTTCTCCCTCTCCTACTCCCCCTGCTTGTGTTCCCTCTCTCGCTGTGTCTCTCTCTGTCACATAAATAAATAAAATCTTAAAAAAAAGAATGATATAATAAAAAATAAAAATCTTTTAGACAATTTAGGGAGAAGCAACATGCCCATTCGAGAGAAATACATTTGAGACATTGCCAACGAGGCAAGTGAAGATGGGCAGGCAGTTTGGAACTGCAGTAAACATAACTACAACAGCAACAAGCATTTAAGAAATTTCAGCAGCAATAAGTATTTATTATTTTGAATGAAATGTACATTAAACTTTATATAAAAATCATCAAAAGTGCTAGGTTGGATTATTTTAATATTAATTTAACCCCCCATGTCATTTAGTAGCTACATCTTTTACCTTTTAACTTCTGACTCATTAAAATCATCTAAAACTGTCCAATGTTAAAACATAAAAAATATTAGTTTATTCTTTAAGAAAAAGTACCACCAGTGATGAGTTATTGAAAGCAAAAAAAAAAAAAACAGATGCCAGAGAATCAGCTTATTAAAAAAATTATCACAGAATTTCATAGAAGGATGCAAAGTCTGAGGTGATTTAGACCCTTGGCAGAATATTTTTTTATGATACAACTTCTTTAAAGTGTGGGTTTTTCTTTTTCTTTCTTTCTTTCTTTCTGTCTTTCTTCTTTCTTTCTTTCTTTCTTTCTTTCTTCTTTCTTTCTTTCTTTTTTTTTTTGAGGCAGGTCACTGGTGTGCCAGAACTATCTATTTTCTCATCTTTCCTTGGCTACTTTCCAAGGTGAACTGAACATTGTCTAATGCTGTGCACCTCTCATGACCCCTCAAATGTCTAATATAGAGAAAAAGCTGATTTTTCAGTCTCAGAAATAGCCCTTAGAGTTAAGTTTGTCATTAAAGAAGACACAAGTAGGTTCTTCATAAAACAGAACCCCCTCTACCCTCCCACACTCAATTCACCCCCATCCCTCTGGTCTGCTGCAATGCACCATTCATTCTCTCCCAATGCACCGTTCACTCTCTCCCACTGCACCGTTCACTCTCTCTCACCGCACCGTTCACTCTCTCCCACTGCACCGTTCATTCTCTCCCACTGCACCGTTCATTCTCTCCCACTGCACCGTTCATTCTCTCCCACTCTAGTTCTGGGTGAATTGGATGACACACTGAGAGAAAGTTTTCAGGCCACATATCCCACTGGGGATTCAGTCCTAAGCAAACAAGCTTCTCTGATTCACCACAAGAGCTGTCTGACTCTCCCGTCTCTTGGCTTTCTTGCTCCTCTGCCTCACCTTCCAGCACAGGGCACTGGAAGCTAACAAAAAAAGTCCAGATGACAGGAGGACCAGACCCAAGATGGAGATTATGGAGCCGTGGGAATTGAAGCTGTAAGCCACAGCAGTGACCACTATTCCAGCGATGAGGACCACCACGGCGAAGGGGATGATGCAGCGGTAACAGGAGAGCTCAGCACCCCCTGTAGCAGCCGTCAACTGAATCTCACTGACCAAGGGGACCGTGGTGACCACCACTTCGCTGTTGGGGCTCTTCTCCATTGTCACAGGCTTGGAAGACGTTGGGGTTCCCAGGATCTCCTTTATGGGCTCTTCAGTCATTTTTACTAGTGATATTTCCTAGCTGGGTTCACAGACTAGACCTGGGGGTTCTCTCCAGGGTGGAAGCTGTGGAGGAGACAGAACATATCAGGTAAATGCATCAGAGTGAGCTCTGTAAGTAGAAGTGAAGAGCTGGGGAAACATCTCTGGGGTCTTTTCTAGGAGACACAGATGCATGTGAAAATCAACTTTCATATTTTTTCCCCTGATTGTTTGCATTCTCTTTGCAAAAAGCAAGATAAAGCGATAGCCATAAAAAAGGGAAGATATAAAAAGCAGGAAGCACTTTACAGTGTTTAATATACCCTGACGATCTACAAATGTTTTACAAGGCTTTCCGTGCCGTCTATTGCTTCTCACTCCTCTAAATGCACCAAAAAGTCTCAATCCTAATCCAAAAGACAGCCTCCTTCATGGGGAGAATACACTATAAACAATCCTTCACACGGTTCATTCCAAAACTCATAGCAACTTAGACTCTGTCAATGTTTTCATGCATAACATGCATTCCAAACTATCACTCATTCCCTGCCCACCAAATCAGTGTCAAGACCAGCAGACAGTGTGCCAATGAGGTTCTCCTATAGCAGATGACTGTCAGCAGGTCTTTATTGTTGTAACTATTTAACAGTGCAACATGTGTCCTGGGACTGCAGTGGGGTTGCAGGTCAGCAAAAATTCAGCGGCAATAAGACTAGGATTTGTGATCTGAAATGGGGCAATACCTTCCAATCCATTTGAAAAAGGAAAAGTTGGGGGGGGATTCAGTTTTGTAGGATATAATTTTGTACTTTCTTACATTAAAGTAAGATTAACTCTTAGAGTAACGAGCTGTCAATTCAAAATTTTCCATGGAACTCAACAAGGAATTTCAACACTATGCGGACCATGACATGTATTAAAAAATGAGCATGCTAGATTTTCAGCAAAGTTTTAGACTTTCTTTATTTTCCCATGCCCTTGCTGCGATATACCTTTCTGGATATTTTGAACCGGAACACTTCAGGACAAAAGCTGAAACTCTTGGTCAAAAGCGTCTGGTTGAAATGCTGCCTAGGAGAAATCAGTGAATGCTCTTGTCTGCTGTTCAGACATGTTAAGTCATTCTCTTTTGTCTCTGAGAAGCGACAGAACAGCTAAAGAATTGAGCAATTGCAGTCACTGAAGAAATTTAGAGGCAGATTCTTGAGGCTACTTCAATGAGATTAATACTTTGAACGTATTAAGCATCCACTGAAAACAAATTCAAGCCCAAATCAGCATATCACTCCCTGTGCAATGAAGCTAAATATTAGAACTGCCTGTCTGCCTATAATTTTTAGTCACCAAAATTAATCACTGCTGTCCAATGATACCCTAGTATCATTACTAGGCCAGTAAAAGGATATTTGAGATTATGTCGGAAAGCAAAAAAAAAGTCTTTCCCCCAAAGCTGAGGCATAAGCTAACTTGCAAATGAAGATCTGTCCCCAGATGACATACACATACCTCCGAGAAAAGCAATCCATTACCAGGGGAGCCACTGGACTTGGGAGGGAAGAATCAGCAGCACTTGAGCTTCTTCGGTCAACTTCTGCGAAAAGAGCCTGTAATAGCACGTCTGTCAATAAAACTACAGGACAAGAATCTCCTCTGGGGAAAAGAAAAGATAGAAAAATACTGTGCTGTATGGTTGGTTTCAGATCCTGGAGTTCCTTCTTTCGCTCTACCTCTGTTCCTAAATGACGCTTGTCTTTCCCTCTCTCTCTTTTTATTTCCTCCCCCTCCGGATTGCCCCTCCCTGTCATTTTTTTTTTCTTCGTTCTCTTCCTTGCCAGCAGATTTCGAGTTTTGGCTTCCCCCAACTCTGCTCAGTGACATGATAAGTCAGAATCATTCTAGAGTCCCCAGAGACAGGAGCCAGCTTTTACTTTTATTTCTCTTGCAGCATTTACTAAGTAGACGGCTTTGCATTACTCATTTTTTCCCCAGCTAACCTCCAGATCTTCCTCCCACCCATCAGGCATTTTCATAAGAAAATCCCCGAGTCAGCGCTGCAGACCCAGCTGAGGGGACAGAGCCGAAGGGACAGACTCTTTAGGGCAGCAAGAACAGCTGTGAAGTCATGGGGCAGCTGAATTCAGCCTGTAAGCCTGCAAAAATCCACGTTCCTAGGCTTCCCCAGTATTCTTTATTTATATGTGTGTGGGGCCATGCGAAGCTTAAAACCTCCCTTGTTTGATATTAATTCACTTAGGAATGAGGGTGGGGGATGCAAATGCTATGGTTGAGGGAGAAACCAATCATCTTGATTTAAACATGATCACTTACTGCTCGTGCTAGGAGGTGAGTACTTTTGGCAATGCTGAAATTATCATCACCATCATCGCTGTCATGTACAGAGAGGATCTACTATGGATGTGACACATACAGTCTCCATGCATTAACACTAATTCTCACTAGTTTACAAATGAGTTTATAAATAGTTTATAAATGAGGCTTGGAGGGGTTAAATAATCTCACAAAGGTCACACAGAAAGAAAGAAAGAAACCCTTAGTTTGAACCCCAGTCTTTAAGGGGCACATAAATCATGTGGAGAGCTCGTTAAATGTAGAATCTGATTTAGTAGGTCTGTAACAAGCTCCTGGCTGATGCCAATCTGCTGCTCCTTGGCTCACTTTTAGGAGCAAGATATTTTAAACATTCAAGTGACATGGCTTGATGCATCACACTCTCAAACAATAAAGTTAAAGGTTTATATCTGCCCATTCCCCAAGTGGCCTTACAGGTTTATACTTTTTTACAGATAAGCTATTGGAAATTTTAAAGCCCTAGATTGCCTTTTTGAGAGAAAAATGAGATAATACTGGCACACTATTAAAAGCTCATCCCTATACTTCTGTAGCAAAACGTTATCCATCCTCTATATTTTAATCTCTACAAGTTTTAATAACTTCTTTTTAATTAATATGGCGAATCTACAAATGTGAATTAGATCTCGGAAGAGATTTGTTCCCTTCTTCCTCTTGGGTTGTTAGATTGCTTTAACTATTGGTGCAGGGCTTGGATGTTCCTAGGCATCTCCCTTCCGTTCTAAGATAGCCTCCTGAATCTAGTAAAAATACTTTGATGATTTTGTCATAAAGGGGGAGGGAACAGAAGTCCTTTTTTCTAGAATGGAAGTCAGAGAGAGGGCTTCTTTATCGCAAAAAAAAAAACCTGAAGTTGAGAAGTCCTTGAGGCCTGACTTCACCACGTAAGGGGAGCCCAGCGTGCTGAGAACCCTGACTACCTGGAGGTCCTCCTAGCTGCCATCCTTGTACTTTTAAAATGTGGGGCCACAAGAGACAGAGCCATCATCCAGGAGAAATGCTGGTGTCAAAGATAAAGGATGCTTAGAACCAGGGCATTTCAGCACTTGCCAGCATTGCCCTGGGAAGATGGTGATATGGAGGCTGCTGGCTACATACATTGGAGGCTTTGGGGATGCTCCTTATAAGAGCATCAATCCCTCCCATCTGCAATGTGTGGACTTTGATCACAGTTCCTCTCCATCTCCTAGCATAGGTCTCTTTCCCCCAAAAAATAATCCAATAAACCCACTGAAGCTCTCAATATCACCTTACCCTGTTGAATGTCATAGTCTCCTATTACCAAATCAAAGGTAACAAATCAAACTTTCACCAGAGAGAAACCAGAGGCACCGTTTTTCCACAGTGAGCCCTTGGCTGAATCTGTAATAAGGGACAGTGAGTGTATCTGTGTGCTGGGAACGGGGGCAAGTCTGTCATTACTTGTAACACCAAAGCATTCTTCAGCCTTTCCAGGCTCCAAGCATCTCATTCACCCTAATTCTTCACAGAGAGTGTGCATATGCCTAGATACACAGATGCACATCTCCAGACTCTAAGTAGACAACCAATGATTTGTATTGATAAATACAAAGATGAAGAAAGCTTTGGGATAAAACAGAAGTTGTATACGAAGAATAGGCCCCAATCATTGTACTCACGGACACACGCAGTTTCAACTGACTTTTATCCCTTCGAGTTGAAATTCAGGGAGAATTCCTAGTGATCAGTGCTGATGTCTTTGAATATTTTTACCTGCTTCCACTCTGTGCCTATAAGATACTAAACCCCCTTGGGAATTCCTTAAGGGACACCTGCCCCCAAATGCAGAATCTTATTCACAATGCAACCAGTCTTCTTTCTAAAAGCCTTTCAGAAGGGAGAAGAAATCTTTCGGGTTCTTTTTAAAACACACGGCTCCAGGAGATTCTCTTAAGTTTGGGGAATTTTCAGAAAGCTTCCAGTGCATGAATTAAGTCAATGCCTCCCACCACCCCCTACTACCCCTCGGTAGGCATTCAACATTTTTCTCCCAGATCTTTCAAAAAGCAAGGCAAAGATTCTTACCTTTCCCAGCCAGAATCCGACTGAGACAGCTGCCTGCCTCAGCCAACAGCAACCCAGAGAGGGGGATGCAAATCACCACACTAGGGACTGTAAACAAAGTACTCAACAAGGCTTAAACACAATTAAGGGACCGGAGAAAACTTGGAGAGAGGAAATCCTTTAAGTGCCGCTGCATTTTGTTCGGTTTCCCTCTATGAGAATGTCATCCATATTTTTAAAAAGGGAACCAAGTTTGAAAAGAATGTCCTGCTTTGTTTTACTCTCTTTATAGCCTCATTCAGGCTTTCATTTTCAAGATGTTCCCTACCCAAAGCCCCCATCCTGATACTCCTCTGTCCTACTTGGAACCTGCAGAAAAGAATTTGTCATCTTTGTTCTATACTTCCAGGCAGGTGTGGGGTTCAGGAGGTATGTGGGCATGAGGAGTGGGATGTAAACTAATCTCTTGCATCCTAATACGCATGTAAGAAGAGGAGTAATTGAAGAGGAGGATTCATGGTGAAAATGGCATGTAGGTTCTTGTGTGGACCCTTTCCCTAGAGTCCCAGTCAGTAGTGGTCTTATCTGCGCTCTTCATCAGAGGATGGCAAGGCCCCATGGAAATGATGGTTTACTGGAAAATCACATCTCTGAGGAACTGAACTCCTAATCAGCACCTCATTTCCAGGCTTCAACATCAGTCTGGTGCTGGGAAATTGAAACCACCCTGCAACATGTAACATTCCCACCAAAGGCATCATAAACAGCAGAGCTTGCTAGTCTGGAGAGAATTTCCCCAAATTTGAAAAAATCTTATTTCACTCAGAAATGAGATTAGAAACAAAGCTATTTAGGTGCAGGGGATACAGAAGTGGAGGAGGGCAGGGAAGATGGTGATGACAAAGAAGAGATTTCGCCCCTTTCCCTTCAATAGAAGCCAAGATTCAGTCTCTGGGCTGGAAAGGGGGGCATTTTGATTTTGCCATTGACTTTATGCTGTTGAAGACCTGGAAATTGCTCCTTTGGGAACACACAAACTTTGCATTTTGTGAAGAGCACCCCCGTGTGTATTCAATTATTCGCCCATATTTGCTTTAAGTTTGCCTTTGCTTGGTGTGGTTCGGTTGGCTAGTTTCCAGCAGCTCTGAAGATGCCAGTTCCTTCCGGCACTCCATCCAATCACTGCATGCCTTTGATCTGGGTCATCACCCAGTCCAGTTGGATTCAGTGAGGTTTGGGAAGCTGGCCAGTTTTTCTCCTTTCCAATGCTTCTTTTAAGGGTGTGTCTGCGTTTATGTTCTGAAATCACTAACATTTTGGAAAGTGATCTGTGCTTGTGTGTTCATTTTGGATAACAGGTCATGTTATTACTGCTTTCCCCCACACCACTCCCCACCCCCAGGCACTTTTCTTTGAGCTCTAGGACATTAAATAGAGAGATCTGATAGCACCAAGAGGAACAGTGGGTATGCCTTAGATATAAACACGTATTTTACTATTTGCTGGTCAATTTCCAGCTACCAGAAACTCATGAAGTCCACGTGAGTATAAAAAGGAAAACATACATCTTTTAGATACACATCCTGGTCACCATTCTCTTACCCATTTTGTTCTGAGTAACTATGAACGATCATATAAACATAAAAAAACAGTTGCTAAATCAAATGACACAGTGGAACCTTAGGGAGGGCTGAGTAAATCACCTCTCACTTCAACAAGAGCTAATGGGCACTCCAGCCTCAGATGAGAAATGATTTTCTTGTTTCAAAATCCTAATATATGTTGAAACTGCTGTGTTCCTGATACAGCCCCATGTATCTTGCATAATCCTTTGTATTTATGTATTATTATTCTTTTGAGCCCTAAGATGAGGAACCTCGAAGGTAAAGAGTTAGAGCAAATTGGGCTGCTACTAGGGAGAGACGTAAACCAGGATTCAAGCCCAAGTGCTGCTTTTTCCTGTGTTGTGCTGGGAAGACTGTCGTGTAGTATTATTTATGAGGTTGCGTGTCTCTTCCTAACTTCAGAGGAAGTCCCATTTTCTTGGGTTCAGGATGACATAGTCTCACTAGGTTTAGTTTTGGAAAAGTGTTTTGAGAAGGCGTACCTATTGCTTCTAGGATGATGAAACCATGTGTGTTGCCTCATATGCATCTGGGTTTTGAAATCGAGCTGTCTTACTTACTAAGCAGATCTGGGGAGGTTTGAGACACAGGCCTAGTACCAGTGGAGTCTGTGCCAGATGCCATGGCAGTAGGGACATTTCAGATGTCACCCAGTCCATTCCTGTGCTTTCACGAACATTTAAGTTCCACTGGTATTTACTATACTCTTCTCAGGTGCCAGGGATTTGTTTAATGTTCTAGTTGAGAAGGTACGATCTGGTAAACAAAGCATGGTCTCTGCTCTCAGGGAGCTCATAGCCTAGGACAGGAAAGCCACAAAGCAACCTATGTGAGTAACCTTTTTACTAGAGGGAATAACAAACTGCTATGGGAAGCCCAGGGAAAATTAAGTCAGCCTGGCATGAGTGGGAGGGGAACGCTTGATGGCAGGCAGACGTTGAGAGTATTATAAGTAGGGAAGGAGAGAAGGTGAGTCTAGGTGGAAGGATGCATATAAACATAGCTCAGAAAAGTGCGAGTCCTGGCCGAGAGCTTGGAGTAGCCTGTGTGGCTGACTTGTAGCGCACCTGGGACAGACAGCAGTCTGTATAAGACTGGAAAGCGTTTATGGTGAGATTATGGCCTCAGTGCCATGTAGGGACTGTATTCTGAGAACAATGTGCTTTTTGAGCAGAATGGCATGGTCAGCTCTCTGCATTATCGCAAGTAGCCTGGCTACTTGTGGGAAGTCAGAGTATGACTGGGACACCAGTTAGAAAATCTCTGTGATTGTCCAGGTGAAAGGTGCTAGGGGCCTGATATTAGGAAATGTGGGCAGGTCTAAAGACACCATAATAGACAGAATCAGCAGAAGGTGGCAGTGAATTTTCTGCGGGAGAGGTGATCAAGGGAGAGGGAATTGTAAGGTTTTAAGGCCTAAGTAATTAAGAGCTTGGTGATACTGTCACCAGAAATAGAAGGCCAGGACAAAGAGCAGTTAGGGTGGAGGATGCACGCTTAATTTTGTTAGCATACCTGGCCACTTCTCCAGTGGAGAGGCATTATTGCCTGCCTACTAATTCATGAACCATTGTCTGAATTGCCAAATAATGTCCTTATTAGCTCACAGGTAAATTTGCCTCTAAAATTATGAATGAATTTATAATTACTTCATTCCATACATATACACACAATTGCTGACACGTGTACAATATACACACATGACTTGACATTGCTAACTTTTTTCATACAACAAGAAAGTCAATATTTTAAGAATTCCAGTTTGAGCCTTTGGTTGTCCTGACTATATGCAAAGAATATATTGATCCCATTTTAAAGTTCAATTTTAAACTTTGTGAAAACAAGAACATAAATAGCAATTCCTTTTGTACAACTGTGCACCATGAGAAAATCACCCCACAGATGTTTTCCGGGAATGAAAGTGTTTTCTCCTGCATTGATCACTACTCCAAGCAAGGGACTACTCATGTAGAAGACTACATAAGGAAGTTCCAATCTCCCCATATCACAGGTCAAGAACAGCCTTTGTCTTACCAAGAACTAATTTTATGTTCCCCTTGAGTTAATGGAAAAAAAAAAAAGCAGTCCAAGTCCCCTGTGGATTTCTTTAGAAATGTCATGTTTCGTCCTTATGCAATGTAAGCAAGCCTTCATATTGGGGTTTACAAAGATTATGTTGACTGAAAAGTCTCCCACATCCTCAAGGATAGTATCAGCAACTGTGTGTGCTCAGAAAGTCTTTGCCAAATAAATGAACAAATAAATAAAATAATGACTGTACATTGAAGTCAAATATAAACTTGGGAACTCAGAACATTATTCAAATGGAAAATTTCAAAGTGACCTGCTATTTATTTATTTATTTATTTATTTTTTTTTTAAAGATTTTATTTATTTATTTGAGAGAGAGAGAATGAGAGACAGAGAGCATGAGAGGGAAGAGGGTCAGAGGGAGAAGCAGACGCCCTGCTGAGCAGGGACCCCGATGTGGGACTTGATCCCGGGACTCCAGGATCATGACCTGAGCCGAAGGCAGTTGCTTAACCAACTGAGCCACCCAGGCGCCCAAAGTGACCTGCTATTTAGTGCTGAGTACATTAATTTTTCAATTACTACAGGCATTTTTTCAGTATTCTTTGGATGGTAGGTACCATGTAGATCCAGCCACAGGCTTCACCTAATAATAAACAAACATTTACTGAGCACTTACCTTATGCTATACACCTTTTATAGATTTATTATTTCATTTAGTACTCACAGATAATCCAGGTGGTCGATGCTACAAATAGTCCCACTATACAAAAGAAGAGATGAAGGGACTTGCCTGGGGGAGTCACCGTTTGGAAAATGGTAGAGTCCAGGGTTAGAATCAAAGCCTGTTTGACTCCAAAGTTTCCCTCTTAATCCCTGTGCAATATTGTTTCTGTGTTCAGTTGATGTGCACACAATCCCTGTGCAATATTGTTTCTGTGTTCAGTTGATGTGCACACTTTCTATTGCTCACAAGGAGTTTATACTTCATCCAAATTAAACTCTTGAGTTTTGAAATGATTGTTTTGCCAGAAGAAACACACAATCAGCTTCCCATAGAAACTCTGTAGGGGCCACTGATGGAGAGAAGGGCCAGTTCAAGAAACTGTTTGAAAATATTTTTATCCACTCACAATCTGATATCCACAACGTGGGTGGGTAGTGGGAAAGGGAGCCATTTGCCCAGTTGAACTTAGTTCAAAATAGAACTATTTATCTTATGAGCTTATCTTATGGAACAATGCAGAGAACAGATCTCTTGCTTTCTTTCTTTAGATAAAAATTTTAAAGTTTTGCTTCAGAGAGGAGATGGTACCTTGCTGTCTCCTTTTTGTTTACTTAAATAAACTATACAGGAAACAGGCATCATTGTCTTTGTAAAAGCAGTTGTAAAGCTTGGTCAAACTAATGATCCCAAGACAGTGGTGTGACCACAGAACGAGAACACAATGTTTCTTCTGTTGT